CCCAGCACCATTTATTAAATAGGGAATCCTTTCCCCATTTCTTGTTCTCTCAGGTTTGTCAAAGATCAGATGGCTGTAGATGTGTGGTATTATTTCTGAGGGACTCTGTTCTGTTTCATTAGTCTATATCTCTGTTTGGTACCAGTACCATGTTTGTTTGGGTTACTGTAGACTTGTATTATAGTTTGAAGTCAGGTAGCGTGATGCCTCCAGCTTTGTTCTTTTGACTTAAGATTGTCTTGGAGATGCAGGCTCTTTTTGGTTCCATATGAACTTTAAAGCAGTTTTCCAATTCTGCTGTGAAGAAGCTCATTGGTAGCTTGATGGGGATGGCATTGAATCTACTAATAACCTTGGGCAAGTATAGCCATTTTCGATATTGATTCTTCCTATCCATGAGCATGGTATGTTCTTCCATTTGTTTCTGTCCTCTTTTATTTCACTGAGCAGTGGTTTGTAGTTCTCCTTGAAGAGGTCCTTTACATCCTTTTAAGTTGGATTCCTAGGTATTTTATTCTCTTTGAAGCAATTGTGAATGGAAGTTCATTTCCTGATTTAGCTCTCTGTCTGTGCTGGTGTATAGAATGCTTGTGATTTTTGCACATTAATTTTGTATCCTGAGACTTTGCTGAAGTTGCTTATCAACTTAAGGAGATTTTAGGCTGAGACAATGGGGTTTTCTAAATATACAATCATGTCATCTGCAAACAGGGACAATTTGACTTCTTCTTTTCCTAACTGAATCCCTTGATTTCTTTCTCTTGCCTGATTACCCTAGCCAGAACTTCCAACTGTGTTGAATGGGAGTGGTGAGAGAGGGCATCCTGTCTTGTGCCAGTTTTCCAAAGGAATTTTCAGTTTTTGCCCATTCAGTATGATATTGGCTGTGGGTTTGTCATAAATAGCTCTTATTATTTAGAGGTACGTTCCATCAATACCGAATTTATTGAGCGTTTTAGCATGAAGGGCTGTTGAATTTTGTCAAAAGCCTTTTCTGCATCTATTGAGATAATGATGTAGTTCTTGTCTTTGGTTCTGTTTATATGCTGGATTTTGTTTATTGATTTGCGAATGTTGAACCAGCCTTGCATCCCAAAGGATGAAGCCCATGATCATGGTGGATAAGCTTTTTGATGTGCTGCTGAATCCGGTTTGCCAGTATTTTATTGAGGATTTTTTTGCATCGATGTTCATCAGGGATATTGGTCTAAAATTCTCTTTTTTTTGTTGTATCTCTGCCAGGCTTTGGTATCAGGATGATGTTGGCCTCATAAAATGAGTTAGGGAGGATTCCTCTTTTTCTATTGATTGGAATAGTTTCAGAAGGAATGGTACCAACTCCTCCTTGTACCTCTGGTAAAATTCAGCTGTGAATCCATCTGGTCCTGGACTTTTTTTGGTTGGTAAGCTATTAATTATTGCCTCAATTTCAGAGCCTGCTATTGGTCTATTCAGGGGATTCAACTTCTTCCTGGTTTAGTCTTGGAAGAGTGTAAGTGTCCAGGAAATTATCCATTTCTTCTAGATTTCCAGTTTATTTGCGTAGAGGTGTTTATAGTATTCTCTGATGGTAGTTTGTATTTCTGTGGGTCGGTGGTGATATCCCCTTTATCATTTTTTATTGCGTCTATTTGATTCTTCTCTCTTTTCTTCTTTATTAGTCTTGCTAGTAGTCTGTCAATTTTGTTGATCTTTTCAAAAAACCAACTCCTGGATTCATTGATTTTTTTGGAGGGTTTTTGTGTCTCTATCTCCTTCAGTTCTGCTCTGATCTTAGTTATTTCTTCTACTGGCTTTTGAATGTGTTTGCTCTTGCTTCTCTAGTTCTTTTAATTGTGATGTTAGAGTGTCAATTTTTAGATCTTTCCTGCTTTCTCTTGTGGGCATTCAGTGCTATAAATTTCCCTCTACACACTGCTTTAAATGTCCCAGAGATTCTGGTATGTTGTATCTTTGTTCTCATTGGTTTCAGAGAACATCTTTATTTCTGCCTTCATTTCGTTATGTACCCAGTAGTCATTCAGGAGCAGGTTGTTCAGTTTCCATGTAGTTGAGCGGTTTGATTAGTTTCTTAGTCCTGAGTTCTGGTTGATTTCACTGTAGTCTGAGGAATGATTTGTTATAATTTCTGTTCTTGTACATTTGCTGAGGAATTAACTTTACTTCCAATTGCATTGGTCAATTTTGGAGTAAGTACGATGTGGTGCTGAAAGAATGTATATTCTGTTGATTTGGGGTGGAGAGTTCTATAGATGTCTATTAGGTCTGCTTGCTGCAGAGAAGAGTTCAATTCCTGGATATCCTTGTTAACTTTCTGTCTCGTTGATCTGTCCTAAACTATTTGACAGTGGAGTGTTGAAGTCTCCATTATTGTTGGCCAAGTCCTGAGTCTCTTTGTAAGTCTCTAAGGACTTGCTTTATGAATCTAGATTGCTCCTGTATTGGGTGCATATATATTTAGGATAGTTAGCTCTTCCTGTTGAATTGATCCTTTACACCATTTATGTAATAGCCTTCTTTGTCTCTTTTGATCTTTGATGGTTTAAAGTCTGTTTTATCAAGAGACTAGTATTGCAGCCCTTTTTGTTCTCCCATTTTGCTTGTAAATCTTCCTCCTATCCTTTATTTTGAGCTATGTGTCTCTGCATGTAAGATGGAGTCTCCTGAATACAGCAGACTGATGGGTCTTGACTCTTTATCCAGTTTGCCAGTCTGTGTCTTTTAATTGGAGCATTTAGTCCATTTGCATTTAAGGTTAAGATTGTTATGTGTGAACTTGATCCTGCCATTATGATAATAACTGGTTATTTTGCTCGTTAGTTGATGCAGTTTCTTTCTAGCCTTGATGGTCTTTACATTTTGGCATGTTTTTGCAATGGCTGAGTACCCGGTTGTTCCTTTCCATGTTTAGTGCTTCCTTCAGAGGTCTCTTGTAAGGCAGGCCTAGTGGTGACAAAATCTCTAAGCATTTGCTTATCTGTAAAGGATTTTATTTCTCCTTCACTTATGAAACAGTTTGGCTGGATATAAAATTCTGGGTTTAAAATTCTTTTCTTTAAGAATGTTGAATAATGACTCTTCTCTTCTGGCTTGAAGGATTTCTGCCGAAGATCTGCTGTTAGTCTGATGGGCTTCCCTTTGTGGGTAACCCGACCTTTCTCTCTGTAGCTGCCCCTTAGATTTTTCCTTCATTTCAACTTTGGTGAATCTGGCAATTATGTGTCTTGGGGTTGCTCTTCTCGAGGTATCTTTGTGGCGTTCTCTGTATTTCCTGGATTTGAATGTTGGCCTGCCCTACTAGGTTGGGGAAGTTCTCTGGATGATATCCTGAAGAGTGTTTTCAACTTGGTTCCATTCCCCCTCGCCTCAGGCACTTACCCCAATCAGGCGTAGATTTGGTCTTTTTACATAATCCCATACTTCTTGCAGGCTTTGTTCATTTCTTTTCTTCTTTTTTCTTTGGTTTCTCTTCTACTTCATTTCATTCATTTGATCCTCAATCTGCGGCAGCATTCTTTCTTCCAGTTGAAATCAGTCGGTTACACAAGCTTGTGCATTTGTCACGTATTTCTCGTGTCATGGTTTTTGTCTCTTTCATTTCGTTTATGACCTTCTCTGCATTAATTACTCTAGCCATCAATTCTTCCACCTTTTTCAAAATTTTCGTTTCTTTGCGCTGGAGTCGTAATTCCTCCTTTAGCTCTGAGAAATTTGATTGACTAAAGCCTTCTTCTCTCATCTGTGTCGAAGTCATTCTCAGAGTCAGCTTTGATCCGTTGCTGGCGATGAGCTAAACTCCTTTGCCGGGGAGATGCGCTCTTATTTTGAATTTCCAGCTTTTCTGCCCTGCTTTTTCCCCATCTTTGTGGTTTTATTTGCCTCTGGTCTTTGATGATGGTGATGTACTGATGGGGTTTTGGTGTAGGTGTCCTTCCTGTTTGATAGTTTCCTTCTAACAGTCAGGACCCTCAGCTGTAGGTCTGTTGGATATTGCTTGAGGTCCACTCCAGACCCTGTTTGCCTGAGGTCCACTCCAGACCCTGTTTGCCTGGGTATCAGCAGCAGAGGCTCAGTTGAAAATGCAGAAATCACCGGTCTTCTGTGTCGCTCGCGCTGGGAGTTGGAGACTGGAGCTGTTCCTATTCAGCCATCTTGCTTACCATATTAGTCTTTCCCTTAGGAGCAAAAGGGAAAAAACAGTGAACTTTTTTAAAAAATCATATTTTAAAATTTAATCTCTGTTTTGATATAAATGTAGGCTCACATGCAATTATAAGAGATAATACAGAGAGACCCTCTATGCCTTTTACCCAGTTTCCCCAAAGGTAAAATCTTACAAAACTTTAATACAATACCACAATCAAGATATTGACCTTGATAGAGTAAAGGTAAAGAACGTTTCATCACCACATAGATCCCCCATTTTGCCCTTTTATAGCTGCCTCCACATCCCTCTTTCTCCCCATCTCCTTAAACCCTAGCCACCACTAATATATTCTCCATTTCTGCAATTTTGTCTTTTTAGTTTTTTATATAAATGAAATCAAATGGTATGTAACCTTTTGGAACTGCTTTTTGTTCGATATTTAACTTAGAAATATTTTCTCCCATTTTAGAGTTTCTCTTTTCGTCCTCTTAACAGACGTTTTCAAAAAGCAGAAGTTTTAAATTTTGATATAGTTCTATTTATCAATTTTCCCTTTCATAGCTCTTGCTTTTCAAGTCAAGTCTAGAAAGTATTTACTTCTTGAACTTGGTGATTTTTTATGTTTTATTAGTAAAGGCTTTCATTTTACATTTTATGTTTATGTCCATTATCCGTCTTCAGTTAGTTTTTTAATAAGGTGTGGGACTTACATTAAAGTTCACTTTGTTGCACATGGATGTCCACAAATTCTCCAGAACACTTTGGTGAAAAAGCTGTCTTTCCTCTATTGATTTCCCTTTGAGGATTATAAATCATGCTGCTATAAAGGATTATAAATCATGCTACTGTAAAGACATATGCACACGTATGTTTATTGTGGCACTATTCACAACAGCAAAGACTTGGAATCAACCCAAATGTCCATCAGTGACAGACTGGATTAAGAAAATGTGGCACATATACACCATGGAATACTATGCAGCCATAAAAAAGGATGAGTTCATGTCCTTTGTAGGGACATGGATGCAGCTGGAAATCATCATTCTCAGCAAACTATCGCAATAACAGAAACACAAACACCGCATGTTCTCACTTATACGTGGGAATTGAACAATGAGAACACTTGGACACATGAAGGGGAACATCACACACCAGGGCCTGTCATGGGGTGGGGGGAGGCGGGAGGGATAGCATTAGGAGACATACCTAATGTAAATGACGAGTTAATGGGTGCAGCACACCAAGATGGCACATGTATACATGTGTAACAAACCTGCACTTTGTGCACATGTACCCTAGAATTTAAAGTAAAAAACAAACAAAAAAAAAAAACCCTAAAGCTATTAAAAAAAAACCCTTGAAGAAAACCTAGAAGATACTATTATGGACATAGGCCCTGACAAAGATTTAATGACAAAGATGCCAAAGGCAATTATAACAAAAATGAAAGTTGACAAATGAGAACTAATTAAACTAAAGAGCATCTGCAAAGCAAAAGAAACTAACAAAGTCAACAGACAACCTACAGAATGGGAAAAAATACTTGCAAACTGTGCACCTAACAAAGGGCTGATATCCAGAATCTGTAAGGAACTTAAACAAATTAAAACTGAAAAGCAACAACCCCATAACAAAGTGGACAAATGACATAAACAGTTTTCAAAAGAAGACATATACATGGCCAATAAGCATATGAAAATACGCTCAGCATCACTAATCATTACAGAAATACAACTCAAAACCACAATGACATACCATCTTATACCAGTTAGTATGGCTATTATTAAAAAGTAAAAAAAAAAAAAAAACAGATGCTGGCAAAGTTGCAAAGAAAGGAACACTTATACACTGCTGGTGGGAATGTAAATTATTTCAGCCACTGTGGAAAGCAGTTTGGAGATTACTCAAAGAACTTAGAACAGAGCTAACAGTTTACCCAGCAATCCATCGGGTATATACCCAAAGAAATATGAATTGTTCTACTATAAAGTCATATGCATGCACATGTTCATCACAGCACTATTCATAATAACAAAGACATGGAATCAACCTAAATACCCAGCAATGGTAAAATGGATAAAGAAAATATACATGTATACCATGGAATACCATGCAGCCATAAAAAAGAATGAGATCATGTCTTTTGCAGCAACATGGATAGAGCTGGAAGCCGTTATGCTAAGCAAACTAATGCAGAACAGAAAACCAAATACTGCACGTTCTCAATTATAAGTCAGAGCTAAACATTGAGCATACATAGACACAAAGAAGAGAACAACAGACACCAGGGCCTACTTGAGGGTGGAACATGGGAGGAGGGTGAGGATCAAAAAACTACCTATCAGATACAATGCTTATTACCTGGGCGATGAAATAATGTGTACACTAAACCCCTGCAAGACTCAATTTACCTATATAACAAACCTGCACATGTACCCGTAAAATTAAAGTAAAAGATTAAAAAATAATAAAAAGAAAAAATAAAGTGTGTTGTTTAATTTTCAAGTGTTTGGTGATTTTCCTATTGTTTTTCTGTTGTTGATTTATATTTTGATTTTATTTTGGTTGGAGAACCACTTGTATGATTTCAATTTTTTAAGAATTTGTTGAAACTCATTTTATGGCTTTGGGTGTGGTGTATCTTGGTATATGTTCAGTGGGCACCTGTAAGAAATGTGTATTCTGTTTTTGTTTGGCGAAGTGGTTTTATAAATTTTGATTAGATCCTCTTGGTTGATGGTGTTGTTGAGTTCTTTTATATTCTTGGTGATTTTTTGTGTGTGTGCCTAGTTGTTCTATCAATTGCTGAGAGAAGGATATTGAAGTCTCCAACAATAATTGTGGAATTCTCTGTTTCTCAAGTATATCAGTTTTTGTTTCACTGTAAAATACTTTACAATTCTCTTGTTTGGCGCATTTAGAATTCCTATATCTTCTTGGTGAACTTGCCTTTTTTAGAAGATTCTTCTCTATCTCTGGTAATTTTCTTTGCTCTAACATCCAATATTAATATACCCACTCTACCATATTTTGTTTAATATTTTCTTGATATGTATTTTCCATCCTTTTACCTTCAATTTGCTTATGTCTTTGTTTAAAGTAAGTGTCCTATAGACAGTGTATAGTTTGGGTCATATTTTTGTATCCACTTCACCAATCTCTATCTTTAATTGATGTGTTTAGATCACTTACATGCGATGCAAATATTGATATATTGGAAATTATGTTTGGTATTTTAAAAAGTATTATTGTCATTATCTTTGTACTCTCTGTTTTTTGTGTTTCTGTTTTTTTTTTTCTGCTTTCTTGAGGGTACTTAGTTTTTTTGAATATCATTTTGATTTACCTCTAGCAATTTTGAATATTATCTCTTTCTATAGCTTTTTAAGAGGTTCTAGGCATTACATTACATATACATAACTTATCACAGTCTATTGCTATTATTTAAGAATTTGAGTGAAGTGTAGAAACCTTACCTCTCTTTACATTTGTTTACCCTTTTGCATTTATAATATAATTGTCTTAAATAGTTTCCCAACATACATTTGTAACCAATCAATGTCATAATTTCTGCTTCAACCATCAGACTTAACTTAGAGGACTCAAGAGGAGAAAAGTCTATTGTGTTTATCCATATATTTTACTTACCATGTTCTTTTTCTTTCTAGTGTTCCCAGATTCCTTTTGTTTTCTATTGTTTCCTTTTAGTTTAGAGAACTTCCTTTAGCCATTGTTTTAGGATAACTCTCCTGGTGACAAATTTTCTTAGAGTTCCTTCACCCAAGAATATGTTGATTTTCTCTTAATTCATTAAGGATATTTTCACTGGATATAGGATTCTTATTTGGCATTATTATCTTTCAGCAATCAAAAAAATATTACTTCCTTTTGGCCTTTATGGTTTCTGATGAGAAACTGCTGCTATTGAAATTATTGTTTCCCTGTAATATGTTGTTTTTCTTTAGCTCCTTTCAAGATTGTTTTGCCTTTAGTTTTCAGAAGTTTGAATATATGTGTCTTTGTATGGCTTTCTTTGTGTTTATCCTGTTTGAGGTTTGCCCAGCTTCTTAAATCTGTAGATTCATGGCTGCCAAATTTAGGAAATTTTCAACTATATTGTTTTGAATACTTTTTTAACCACTCCCTGCTTCTCCTCTACTTCCAGAACTCTGATTATAAGAATGTTAGATTGGCCAGGTGCAGTGGCTCACACCTGTAATCTCAGCACTTTGGGAAACCAAGGCAGGTGGCCTACTTGAGCCCTGGAGGTCAAGGCCAGCCTGGGCAACATAGTGAATCCATCTCTACAAAAAATACAAAAATTATCCTGGCGTGGTGGCATATGCCTGTAGTTCCAGCCACTAAGGAGGCTGAGATTGGAGGATATCTTGAGCCCAAGAGGAATAGGTTGCAGTGAGCCAAGATTGCTCCACTGCACTCCAGCCTGGACGACAGAGTGATACCCTATATCAAAAGAAGAAGTATAAGGAGAAGAAGAAGAAAAGGAGGAGAAGAATATTAGATCTTTTGTTATAATCCCACAGATCCCTCAGTCTATTCATTTTTCTTTAGTCTATTTTTTCTTATATTACTATTTTTAATTGACACATAATAATTGTACATATTTATGGGGTACAGCATATTTTCATACACGTAGACAATGTACAATGATAAAAAATCAGGGTAACTGGTGTCAGGAACATTCAAAATTTGCTCTTCTAGCTATTTGAAAATATCCAATAAATTGTTAATTATAATCACCCTGCAGTGTTATAGAATGCTAGAACTTATTCCTCCCATCTAACTGTAATTTTGTATCCATTAACCCACCTCACCTCTGGTTAGCCTCCCCACATCTTCCCAGTCTCTAGTAACCACTATTCTACTCTCTACGTCTATGAGACCAATTTTTAAGCCTCCACATATGTGTGAACGTGTGGTATTCATCTTTCTGTGCCTGATTTATTTCGTATTTTTTATTGCTGTGCAGATTAGATAATTTCTATTGTCCTATCTTCAAACTCACTGATCCTTTTGCCCTCTCCATTCTTCTGTTGAGCTCACCCTTTCAGTGTTTTTGTTGGGGTTGTTGCTGTTGTTGTTGTTATAGTTTCCAGTTCTAGAATTTCGATTTGGTTCTTCTCTACGTCTTATGTTTCTTTGCTGAAATTCTATTTTTTCACTGGTTTCGAGCATATTTGTGATTGCTCATTGAAGCATCTTGTGATAGTTGCTTTAAAATCATTGTCAGATATATCTAACGTCTTTGTTATCTCTGTGTTGGCAGCGATTTATTATCTCTTTTCATTCTGTTTGAGACCTTTCTGGTTCCTGGTATGCAGAGTAATTTTTTTATTTAAACTTACGCAGTTTGACTATTATGATGAGATTGTGGATCTTTTCTAAATCTTGTGTTTAACTGGTTTTTTCTTTTTTTACACTGCTCTGGAGGCAGAAGGGAGGAGGGAGGGAGTACATCATCTTTACTGACAGATGGAGGTAGAAGTCTAGTTTCCCCCATTTAACCTTCTACAATACCCAAGGGGGATCTTTTCACTACTGCTGGGCAGAGGTGGGATTTCTAGCTGTCCTGTAGGCTTCCACTGAAAAGTCCCTGAGTAGGAGGAGTAGGATGTTTCATGACTGCTCCTCGCATGACCTCCACTGACACTTTGTGGAAAGGAAAGGAAGCTCACATTGTTATCACTGAGTGATGGGGAAAGACCTTACTCTTGGCTGGGCGAAGTGGCTCATGCCTGTAATCCAACACTTTGGGAGACCGAGGCTCAAGATTGCTTGAGCCCAGGAGTTTGAGAGACCAGCCTGGGCAACATGGAAAAACCCCATCTCTACAAAAAATACAAAAATTAACCTGGTGTGGTGGTGTTCATCTGTAGTCCCAGCTACTCGGGAGGCTGAGGTAGAAGGATGACTTGAGCCCTGGAGGTGGAGGTTGCAGTGAGCCGTGATTCCACCACTGCACTCCAGCAGCCTGGGTAACAGAGAGAGAACCAGTCTCATTTAAAAAAAAAAAAAAGAACTGTCTCTCCTTCTTTCCACTAAGCCTCCTCTGACACCGTTACAGTGGTGGTAGGAATTTGGGGCACCTCATGACAGCATGGTGTGGCTGGAAGTCTTAGATCCGCATGTGGCTTCTGCTGGCATGATCTGGGATTGAGCCATGGTTTTAGATGTGGTGTTTGGCTGCAGTAAAGCAGTTATTTTCTAAAAGCTTTCTCTCTTGCTAACCCGTCCCTTTCCTGGGTTTTTTATTAGAGAGAACAGGCTTTTGTTAGGGCTTTCTTTCTTGTAT